TGGTTTTTGGTTGTGACTTCAGCCCCCAGCAGTTTAAAGCAATAGTTGAGAAAGATGGTGAGAATACGGCACATGCTTCTGTTTATGATGGCAGTGAGCAGATACAATAACTGAACATCAAACAAACGTAATTGTATCCTGTGGGTTTTTTTTGTAAGTAAATTTTAAATATAAATTGTTGCAGACTACCCAGATTATTTTAAGAAACTAATAACAATCCTGATTTCATAAATAGTGCAGAAAAAGAAAATGAATATGTTACCACTCTTCGGCTGTGTTCACGAAGATCTGCTTGGTGCAGTTAAATAGAAATAAGATTAATATTAAAAGGAGGAGAAAGTTTATTTTAAACTTTACCTCAGATATGTGTATGGCTTTGATTCTTTTCTTTCCAATTCTATAATCTAATGTCACGTCTTCAGAGAGACCTTCCCTGACTCCGTAATCTAAAATAGAAGTACCTACCTTGGGGAGAAGAAGTGTTTTTTTAACGTGGAAGTAATGGAAGAAAATATTTTATAGTTAAATTTTCAAGTTTACATAAAATTTTAAAACATTGTGAAGAAACTGAAAAGGCAAATAACAAGCTTGGGGAAAAAAATGAAACATATAATAGCGGCATTATAGCCTTGCTATTAACAGTCTTTAATAATTTGTAAGGAAAAAGTAAAGACTAATGGAAAAATGAGCGGATAATGTGAATAGGCCATTGTCAAAAGAATAATAATGGTTAATATTTGAAGGCTTACTATGTACAAGATACTTTTTAAGCTTGTCACTTGAATAATCTCATTTATTGCTATTACAGTCTCATTTTACAGCTGAGGAAGTTGAGGCTCAAAAAGGTTAGATAACTTTCCCAAGTTCAGAGCAGCATATGTATTTGCATTTACATTGAAACAAAAGAGTAGAAAGAAAATTTTTTTTTTTTTATTCCTAGTTATATAGTGGGGATAATTTTCCTTTTCTATGTATTTTCCCAGATTTGCCTGGGAAATGAATAGTGTATAAAAAAAGACTAGTTGTCTTTAATATTCATGTTCTCTTAACCAGTATTTGATCTTCTAGTAAAAACACCTAAACAATCCTAAATACAGATAAGGTGTTTTGTACTCAGGTTAATATTACAGCTTTGTTTTTCTAGAAAAATATTAGAAACATTAAATACTTTAAATGAATTTATAATCTTGAAAATGTCCATGACAAGGTTAAATGGAAAGTAAATAGAAAATATAAATACAAATATGACACTTGTTAAAAATTAAATCCACATATCTATGGAATGAAAAGACAAGAAAAATATGAGGTCATAGACATGATGTTTTTTCCCCCAATCTTTCCCCCATTCTAAATTAACCAAAGTTTTCTATAAATATCTTAAAAAGTAGAAATAGTTTCAAAATGGAAAAGAATAACCAAGGACACTGTAGAAGCCAGCATGTGAACAGAGGGAAGACGTGGGAGTTGATTTGCTGGATTTTAAAACTGTTTTAAACTGTTATTGGCCCTTAAAGTATTGAGTATTTCAACATAACGTACCCTATACTTTTAAGAAATTTCTGCCATGGTTGTATATGTTAACTACTGTGTTTACAGTGGAACTTATGAGAGCAGGATCTCAACGGGACTGCCTTGTTTTTCCGGGTCTTGCAAGTTTTCCTCCTTTGAAAGGGTGCAGTCTTGCTACTTTTCTGTTGCTCTCTGTTAGTGGAAAATATTTTAGTTTTCCTTCTCTGACAGGTTTCCAGCTTGCACATGTTCCAGCTTTCGCGGGTTTTACTGTACTTATTAAATGTTCAGATATTTGTGTGTCCATTCCATAAATACTGGTCATCTTGGCGTGACTAGAACAGGGGTTGGGCACTTTTTCTTAAAGGGCCAGGTAGTAAATATTT